GGTGAACCGTTTGAAGCCAGAACTTATAACACCAGCGAAGCCAACACCTCATGAAACAAAGCTACTCTCAAATATTGATGACCAGGAAAGCCTTAGGTTTCAGGTTCCAGTCATAATGTCGTACAAGAACAATCCTTCAATGAAAGGAAACGATGCCGTTGAGGTGATCAGGGAAGCATTGAGCCGGGCACTCGTGTATTACTACCCTTTGGCTGGCAGGCTCAGGGAAGGACCTAACAGGAAGCTTATGGTGGAGTGCAATGGAGAAGGTGTCTTGTTCATAGAGGCTAATGCTGACATCACGCTTGCGCAACTCGGGGACACGATTGCACCTCCTTCTCCATTCTTAGAGGAGTTTCTTTATAATGTTCCAGGCTCTGATGGGATTCTTGGTTGCCCTCTGTTGCTGATTCAGGTGAGTATTTGTTAGTTAACTGCATGTTAATTAATATCTGTTTTTGAATTTCTTGGTGGATCTTGGCCCTTCAATACAATGAAAGTTTCTGATTGCTGGAATTTACTTCCATGGAATCTTTGCCTCTTATGGATTTGAAGTAGCTACCATACTGTAATTTGTACCATGTGAACTGTGTATCAAAAGTGTGTGGTCCCAAATAAAACCATCTACGGACTTCTAAGATTGTACAAATGGTGAGAAATATCAGGTGAGTTAAAACAAACTGTGATATATATAAAATTAATAAAAAATATCTAGCTTCAGTTCTTAAGTATTTACAGCTGAGGAAGAAGCAGTAGGCGGCAGGCACAATGGAGGGAGGATTGGTGGTTGTAAGTAAAACACGGGTGTTCTCAAGTGGTGGCTTTTCACTTAACTCATAAATTAGTTTTTAAATTTTTTTGTCAAAATAAATAAATTGATGATTAGCACATGTCTCAATTTTAATTAAAATCTGATGATGTGGTTGTGCCACCTTATTTGGGACACATATTTGGTGTCCCTAGCAGTACTCATATACAAGACCCTTCCTGAATCTATTATGCGCAAAATATCTTTAGATAAAAAATTACACTGAGAATATGAAGGAAAAAGCCTAGTGATTAATTCAAGCTTCTACAATATACAGGTAACCCGTCTTTCATGTGGAGGTTTTATACTTGCATTGCGCCTAAATCACACAATGTGTGACGCAGCTGGGCTTGTCCAGTTCTTGAAAGCCGTTGGGGAGATGGCACAAGGTGCACAAGCGCCATCTACTACACCAGTGTGGGAGCGAGAGCTCTTGGGTGCTCGAGATCCACCACGAATTACGCGTGTGCATCATGAATATGAAGAAGGGATTGATGCTCAAGGCTCATTTCCAAGCACTAACAAGCCAAACATGGTCCAACGATCTTTCTATTTTGGGGCCAAGGAGATAAAGGCCATTCAGAATCATATTCCCCCACAATTATCAACCTGCACTACATTTGATTTGATAACAGCTTGTTTGTGGAAATGCCGCACACTCGCACTTAGAATGAATCCAAAACAAGTTGTTCGCCTTTCATGCGTAGTCAGTGGACGCGGTAAGCGCCACAATGTACGTCTTCCCTTGGGATATTATGGCAATGCATTTGCATTTCCTGCTGCAGTTTCAGAGGCTAAAGCTATATGTACAAATCCATTGGGATATGCTTTGGAGTTGGTAATGAAGGCAAAAGCTGCAGTGAATGAAGAGTACATGAGATCAGTTGCAGATCTTATGGAAATAAGAGGACGACTACCAAAATATCCATTGACAGGAAACTTCATAGTTTCCGATACAACGCGTGCAGGTTTTGGAGAGGTCAGTTTTGGTTGGGGCAAGCCGGTATTTGGTGGACCTGCGAAGACCTTGAATTTGATTAGCTTCTATGTTCAACACAAATGCAACAATGAGGAGGGGGTATTGGTACCAATATGCTTGCCATTATCGGACATGGAGAGATTTCAGCAGGAGCTCGAGAAGATGACTGTGGAGACTGTGCAGACTACGGAGGATATATATGACACAAAATCAGCTAAGATCGTGTCAAGGATGTAATCTCAAATTTTAGATTTCTAGTGTGATGTCAATGGATTTCGGAATGTACCGTATACATTAATGTTTTTGTGATTTTCGTGCGTATGTATGCTTGACTTTTTCTATGAGCTTTATTCCAACAAAAACTATTGGTGTTGTAGTTGCATGACCATTTTTGGAGTGAATTTAGCGAGATGAAAGGTTCTCCACCGCTGGCCGCCGCCGGACTGCCGTCCCTCCCCGGTCAGCCGCACCACTACCAATAGCAACCAGCAGGCTGAACGACGAAGGCCCTTTCCCCAACTTACTGCCATGGAAATCTATCACTGCCAAATTCCTAAAGACTTATTGGCATATTGACCTTCGTATGAAGCCTATATTGCCATAGAGGATTCAGTTTATTCTTCAATACCTCCTTTTTAGATCCTTAATCTATTTCACTCAACCCCACATTGAGAGAGAGAGACAAGATCAACCATGGAAATTATTAGGTCTACTAGATGATGATTCTCAAGCCTCCTTTTAATGTTCAAGGTTGTTTTGAGAAATTGTAAGGTAAAGAGATATGAAAGATGGGGAAAAAGGGAAGATGAGCCACAACCATGACAGGCCGTGGGGGTGGGGGGACTTGTCAAAGCAGTTCATGCACCAGTACGCGTTGAATTTACAGTTGTGGCTTTCACTAAATTAGTCACGTCTAATCGATAGTACTGGTGCCTGCAACATCTTAAATAGCTAGCTATAGCCTATATGACAAATCCCCGTCCTTTTAATTGCAAGGATTGTCCAATATTCATACAAAAGGATTTGACATGCGTACGTGGTCCTTGTTTTCTAAAGATATCTTACTTTGTGTATCTGTTGTATGTATGTAAGCTTTCAAGTGTTCATCTTATCTTATCTAAGGTCCACATATTTCTTAACAAAATGTGGATGACATGAACCCAGAAATTACAAACAGTCATTATAAGCTCAACTTATATATCAAAAGTACATGATCCATAAACAACAAAAATCATATTTAGGTTTGTAGAGCTTCTAAAATTTCAACAAAACAAAACAAAAGTTCTCAAGTGGCTTAGTGGCTCTTCAATATGGCTAGTTCTCAAGTGACTCAATTGTACACAAAAAGCTGGTTTGACTTCCAGTCCATCATCTACAAATCAAAAAGCCAAAGCAGTAACATTAAAAATACAAACAATCATTGAAAAATTCTTGATCTTCTAGCATTTCGAGAAGCAAAATAATTAATTAACTCTTCAAAATCAATATTTTCCAACATATTTTCAATGCATAAGATTGCCAATCCATTTAACCATTCTTGTGACATAGTTGATCGTAAATAATATTTTATTAATTTTAATTTTGAAAAACATCTTTCTGCATATGCCATAGTTACTGAAAGAGTCAATATAATTCTATGAGCAATTGAGACATTTGTAAAACAATCCACAACTTTTACAAACTCAAGAACTTCAATGGCTATCTTTATTTCTTTCAATAAATACATTTGTAACACTTCCAATTCAGAAAACAAATCATCAGCATATTAGATTCATTATCATGTGTTAAAGTAGCTTCAAGATTTCTACAACATTCACGCAATCTGCTATAATTCATTCGAAATAAATTCTTAGGATCAAACAAAAAACTAAAAATGCCTTCAACTATTTCTAATTGTTCAAATCTACTCCTCAAAGAAGAAATTGGAACATCAACTACAACAAGAAAATAACTAACCCTAAAAGATTATTCAGTAGATTGAAATGTCTCTTTATGATCATTTTCATCAAATTGTTTTTTTCTTCGACTTTGACGTTTTTCAGGAAATACAATGTCAATTTCCATCTTTCATGCAATCTCTTTAGCAGAAAGTAGGGCCAATGTGAGCCCATTTTCCCTATACATGTGTTGCACAACCCCAAAAAATGACATAACTTTAACACAAAAGTTTGCCATATCACAATCTGTTAAATTAAGAGATTGACAAGCACATGGCATATAAAGTGCCCTAAGATTTATTTTAAGAAGCCTCTTTTGCACACCATTGTTTTTCCCCTTCATGTTAGCTCCATTATCATAACCTTGGCCCCTTACATTATTAATATCAAGTTCAAGACACTTTAATACAACTAATACAACTTGTAACTCATTAAAAAGCTCACATCTAGATGTATCATCCACTTTCAAGAACTCTAAAAAATACTCGTCTACCTTTATAGGAGCATTTGACACATCTACATATCGAATTATTAAAGTCATTTGCTCATGGTGACTTACATCCAGAGTACAATCAAGTATTATAGAAAAATATTTTGCCTCTTTGATTTTTTCAATTATAGCACTTTTAACCTTGGAGCCTAACATACCAAAAATGTCATCTTGAATTTTATGACTAAGATAGTGATAATGAATCTCATTATTTTGAATACGTCTAAAATGCTCTTGCAATACCAAATCAAATTATGCAATTAATTTAAGCAGCCCCAAAAAGTTACCATTGTTATCTTGGTAAATTTTCTCATTCTCTCCACGAAAAGCTAAACTTCTTTTAGCAAGGCATCTCACAACTTGGCACCAAGATTGGGGATCCTGCTATTGTGTTTGCTTCCAAAAACACTGCTCTGGTTTCTTAGCCTACAAGGTCTTGCCCTTCTGCTGTCCCGCCTCGTTGCCTGACTTTTGCAAAAAAAGACAAACTGAAATGTGATCATTATCGACACCTGTTGGGCATTGCATGGGGTACCAGATTGGGAGAAGGAGCAGAAGCGTTTAAAAAAGGAACAACTGGACGGCAAAGCTCATTTGGTCTTTGGCGCCACTTCAGTGGTTGACGTCACTACTGGGCACGACCGCCTTACTGCTACTCCTCCTCCGACCTTGACCGCGGTCTCAAGCACTCTACACTGCTGCCTCCAAATAACTTTGGCAAGGTTTTCCATACTCATGATACACGCGATACAAGTTGGATTTTTTTATTTAAGAGCTACTGACCATATGACATATAATTCTGCTTTTACTACTCTTCAACCTCATTTTGATCATGTTGTGACTGCTAATAGTGTTGATGCTCCTGTCACGGGGGTTGGTTCTGTACTCTTGACACCTACTTTACCATTGGACAAAGTGTTGTTGGTTCCATCTTTGTCTAGTAATTTATTATCCGTGCCACAAGTTACTGAGCAGTTAAACTGCGTTGTACTGATGTATCCGTCTTTTATCTTACTACAGGATATCCAGACTCGGGAGATATTTGGTCGTGGTACTAAAAACGGGGGCCTTTATTATGTGGACAATGTGGCAACTAATCGTGCTGGTAGCGCCAACACTTCTCAACGTTGCCATATTTGGTCATGCATCTTTTGGATATTTACGACATTTGTTTCCTCCATTATTTAGTGGTGTCAACGAGTCTGCTTTCCAGTGTTAGACTTGTGTTTTAGCTAAGAGTCATTGGGTCTTCTACCCTCCAAGGTTGTAATAAATGGCTTATGCCATTTGATTTAGTTCATTCTGATGTTTGGGGAACTTCCCCTATTTCTACAGCCTTGGGAGTTCGCTGGTTTATGTTATTTGTAGATGATTGCACTCGTACGATGTGGTTATATGGGATGAAAAATAAAAATGATGTGGTCGAAATTTTTCACCGTTTCTATTAGATGATTCAGACTCAATTTATGCTTCATATCAAGGTTTTTTTATTTGATAATGGTGGAGAATTTTTTAATTCGGTGTTATCCCATTTTTTTCACACTAACGGTGTACTCCATGAGACTACTTGCCCTCAAACACCACAACAGAATGGGGTTGCTGAATGTAAAAATGGGCAGATCCTTGTTGCTGCCCGTGCTCTGCTACTTGGTGCATCAGTTTCAAAGCGGTTCTTGATGGATGCTCTTACCTATGCAGTCTATCTCTTGAATCATCTAACTTCACAAGTTTTGGATTTCTGAACTCCTATGCAGGTATTGACCCATCATATCTCTGCCTCTTCTATGTTGACTCTATCTCCAAAGGTGTGTGATTGTGTTGTTTATGTTCAGCTCCATCAGAATCAGAGTAAGATAGACGTCTATGCTCTCTGCTGTGTCTTTTTGGGTTTCTCTCCTCATCAGAAAGGCTACTGGTGCTATCATCCTGCAACCCGACGTCTATATGTTTCTATGGGTGTTACCTTTATTAAGGATGAGATGTTCTTCTTTGACACACCCGAGCATGTCGTTCAAGAGCACTACAAGAAAACAGGCCTTCTGTGAAGACGAGTAGTCGTCACTTAAACATGTAAATTTGTCACAGTTGACAATATGTGACGCATTTTCAGCGTCACAAGGTTCGTCACCTATACCCCGTCACAGATTGTTTGACGTGACGAATTTACGATTCGTCACATACTGGTTCTATATGTGACGAATATTTCGTCGCATATAGTACCTTTGCACAAGGCATCTTTCGTCACTTATTGTATCTATCGGTAACAAGCTGCATTGGTCACATTTCACAAGCGTGAGTGGGGAGTTGTTCCTCACATATTTATGAAAATAGTGGGGAGTTGTTCCTCATATATTTATGAAAATTGTGACAGTGTACGTCTCACATATAATCTGACCAACATTCAATTCAATTAAATTCAACTCGATTACTACCATTCCCCATTATATTATTTTCTTGTATAATATAGCAAAATAATACATTCAAGATCCCCAAAGTTTCACAAGTAAATTGAACTCAAATTTCATTCCATTACATCAAAATAATTACGTTGTTTGATATACAATAGTCTCAACTACATGTTTTTTTCTTCTCATAACTACAATGTAATTTTTCTACAACTGAAAGTAATGTTGTCCCAAGATGAAAAAGAGTTGAACCAAATTGCAAACGATCATCAACGACAACCAAAAAGAATGGATCTTTTTGGTTCAACTGTCATAAAAAAGAAAAATGGTCATACAAATGGATATAGAATATATAAAAGGGCAAATTTCCATTGGGGAAGAACATCAAGCTATTTAACAGAGAGATAAAAGGCCAAATTACCATTGGGGAAGAACATCCTTATTTATGGTTGGGAAGCTACACACTGTAAGAAAATATAAAACATAATACAACTTTGATGTCTAAGAAGTGACCATGGTGAGGAAAATAAAAGGATGAAAAACAGAATCCATCAAAGGATTAAATGTCAAGAAGCATGAAAAAATAAAAATCACACTCCTAAAAATGAAGGTGTATGTACAAAGCATAAAAAGCTACAAAAGAATCTTTCCAGTGGTAATATAGGCAGAAAATATGGCCTCCTTATAACGAAAAGATGTGCTTACACAACAAACTAAATTAACAATTACATAAAAAGCTACTCTTCTGATACTATTTTGACAAAAATTTCATAACAAACTAAATTAACAATTAGAAAACTAAAGGGATATGGTGGTGGTGGAGACAGCTTAGGTGGTCAAACCTGTAACAACTTAAACTGAATATATTTACAAAGTCATCAAAACTTAAACTAAATATAGATACAAAGTCATCAAATTGATGGAGAAACAAAACGTAAAAAAGGCATAATTCACATTTTGCCAATACATTTGTGCTAAGTTAGAGATAGTGTTTTCTCACCTTACAACCATGTTTCTTAAGCTTTGAATTATCAACAAAATGTTGCATATTTATCTCATAATACTGCCCCATATCAACAAAATGCCCTTATTCATCTCATCTGTTGCCCAAGTCACATCGATAGTGAATAATTAAATGCATTTCCAGGCAGATACAAAGAAAACAGAGAAAAAGCAAAAAAGAAATATTAGTTCAGAAACTTACACAGAGCATTCTCTTTGTTGCCAAGCTTCAATCAAATGGGTTTCTGTAATTTCCATTAACATAATACAAAGTTGGCAGGAAGTTGGAAGGGAAAGTCATCACAAACACCAAGAGATATGATTCTCATCTCTTGTTACAACAACAAATCACAAACAACAGGACATCTGATTTAGAATCTCATAAACAATTGAGGAACAAACGCATATCCACATATAATCACTAAAATTTGCCCTAATTTCTATGTAAATCGAAAATATATAGAAAAAGATAATGATTTCGCATTAAATACACAAATATTTTAACCCTAAATCAAATTAGAGATATATAAATTGATTTTTCAAAAATTATAGAAAATAATTCTAGGAGGACGAAAGACATTTGTTACCTATGGAATAGAGGAAGGTTTGACGGTGAAAGAGACCAGTCGAAAGAGAGAGCCGGCGAGAGAGAGATGGATAGAGAGTCAGAGTTGAAGATAGCTAGAGAGCTGTTTTGGAGGCTCATACACAATACAGCTGTTTTGGAGGGATAAGAGAAGACGCGCAAGTTGAGATTCCAAGTTGAGGGCCTTGTTCCAGTGCATTAGTTTCACATCAACTGCTTTATGTGGAGCCATTAGATCGGATCCAATGGTGTCCTCACATAGAGGTTCTCAAATAGAAGTCCCCACTAGAGAATAGCCCTTGTTTTTATTTTTTTATGTTTTTTCTTTTGGGCCACAAGTGATGCTGCCAATCTTCACCCAATAAAATTTTCAGTTCTCACTTTCATGCTTTGTGACGAATGTGCATTATTCGTCACATTTAGTAAAAAATTTGGGCGCCAAGATTTCCCGCTATGTAATTTGTGACGACACCGAAATTATAATGTGACGAAGATGGAGCGAAAATTTTGTTAGGTCCTTTCAAGACGTTTAAGTGACGACTTGCAAAATTTTCTCACTTATACAAGCCAAATGTGACGAAATTTTCAGCGTCACGTAAAATTTGGTCACAGAAGGCCTGTTTTCTTGTAGTGGAGGAGACTAGTAGTGAAGGATGTAGCTGGCTAGATTTACAAGGAGTGGTATTGGATGGTTTGTTATAAATGGGATAACCGCCGACCCTGCTAAACTTGCTACATCGGCCAAACCTGCAACACCAGCTGAACCTGCTATTCAAACTGATGTCGCTAATGTTATTGAACTAATTGCCCCTTTTAAAGCTTCTCTAATAGTACCCGATCAAGCTCCCCTGGATATTCCTGAGGTAAATACTTCTATTCATACTGCTGGTAATTCTTATGTTCTACCGCCTAGACAGAACAATGGGGTTCCACCTAATCATTACTCACCAGAAGGCAAAGCAAGATATGTTATTGCCCATTATATATCTGATCACAGGTTTATCTCCTGGGTGCAAAGCGTTTGTCTCAAGAATGGATAGTATTAAAATTCAAACTTGTGTTTAGGAGACAGTTAATGATCTAAAGTGGGTTGAAACCATGAATATTGAAATGGAGGCATTGCAGAAAATAATACATGGGCTATTGTTGTTCTACCAAAGGGAATGAAGCCTGTAGGATGTATATGAGTGTTTATAGTTAAAAATAATGCAGATGGCACTGTGTAGAGGTACACGGCAATATTAGTAGCTAAAGGGTTCACTCAGACATATGGAGTTGATTATCATGATACTTTTGCACCTGTAGCTACGATGAATACTGTCAAAGTTGTGTTGTTCTTAGCAATAAACCTGTATTGGACCCTGAGGCAATTTGATGTAAAAAATGCATTCTTACATGGTGAACTAGAATAAGAAGTGTACATGAGTCTTCCATCAGGGTATAGCGTTATCAGTAACACAGGGAATGTGTGCAGATTAAAAAAGGCGTTGTACGGGTTAAAGAAGTCTCCTCGGGTATGGTTTGGCAGATTGAGTGCAGCTATGAAGATGTTTGGTTACTAACAAGCCAATACTAATCATACTCTATTCATTAAACTTAGGGCTGGTAAGGTGACTTTGTTGATTATTTATGTTGATGATACGATTGTGACTGGTGATGATATTGTAGAAATCGAGGAACTGCAGAAGCGTTTAGCATCTGAATTTGAGATGAAAGATTTGGACAGTCTGAAATATTTTCTAGGAGTGGAAGTCACTCAATCTAAACATGGCTTATTTCTTTCATAAAGGAAGTATGTCATGGACCTGCTAGCAAATATTGGAATGCTTGACTATAAACCAGCTAATACACTTATTGTTGAGAATCATAAACTTGGGGTTTATGTGGATCAAGTCCTAACTAACAAAGAAAGATACGGTCATGCTGAATTAGGCATAGCTTAAAGGTGCTCATCAGGATTCTCAATAGAGTCATGGAAGCAAATGAATGTACAATAAGGAATCTCTACTCTCAGTAAAGGAGAGAGAATACTCCAAGATATGATTGGTCAAATCTGTGCGCAGAGTAATGGATAAGACTTGAAAGAAGAAGTCTTCAAATCTGACCAAGATAATCATATAAAAGGAATGATTCATATTAGAATATTGACAATCGGATTCCATGATCTAATAATGTGAATAAGGAGTTTTGACATAAGAGAAGGATGCAATTGCACGGTCATTCCAATTTGAATAGGTTCTTTCACAACGTCTCATTTAGCTCGAATAACCATGACTTGCTGATAGGTGACAACCATGGTTTGTGGATGTCCTAAAAGGTTTCAATTAACCTTTATTAAAAGGAAGAATTAAATTGTGGAATTAAATTCGTATATCATCTCTGAGGAGTTGGGTCAACCCACTACCTTACTAAAGGGAACCTACGGATCTACACACTCAAAGAATGTGATTAGAGGTACAAATGAGGGTAAATGAAATGAGAAGACATAAGTCAGTGGTTGATAATCAAATGTCAAAGTCAACGGTCAAAAGTAAACATGTTGACCGGAGTAATTGACCAAACTTCGACCGGATCAATTAAGTAAGACTATAATTATAATTTAATAGTTAAATTATAATTAAAAAATTAATTATGAAATTAATATTGACATATATAAATATTGGATTGGACTTTGAAATATGATTTGAAAGGAAAGAGACAAAATAACCCAAAAGGCTATTGGGCCCAAAGGATAAGTGGCATAAGATGACATGACCCATGGACTAAATGGAGTCCCAAATACCCACCCAATTGCCTTTTGTGTTGTCCTTTATAAGCTAAGTGTTGGAGAAAACCTAGCTAGGGTTTTTTGGTTTCCTACTTTGGTTGATGAGTGATCATCTTTGTATCTCATCTTCTATAAACCAAAAATTGGTGTGGTGAGGTAGAAGACTCCAATCTCGGAGCCCTTAAGGTGAAGGAGTCAAAATCAAGAAAAACAAAAGGCATTTCCAACAAAGGTATTCATTCTTGAGAAATCAAGAAAAGGAAAAAAAGAAAAAAAAAAAAAAAA